ACTTCTGATTAAACGAACCAGACATCTCAAGGAAACGCGAAATTTGATCAGACTATTTGGGTATTATAGATTCATTTCACGGTCGATTGAAAATTTGGAAGTCGATCTTCGCGCCTCTGGCTTCGCAATTGATAACTACAGTTTCCTCGCCGCATTTGGATGCAAATAGGCTTGATACGCTTTCAATGGTTTTTCAAGTGCTTTCTTTTAAGAAAATAGTGCTCCGATGGCTTATTTAACTTCTGCCAAGAGTAGTATGCCGTGTCAACATTGGTGACCTTCGAAGCGAAAACAGCGAGTCGGCGTATCAAGTTTTTACCGTGGAGCCACAAGTAGGAATACACTCTCTGCTGGCACATCTTTCTCCGGTTTGGAAGGAACTCGGCGTGGAAAAGACCCTGACCAAAGAAATTTTTAAATCTTCTCTATTTGAACGTTTGAGAAAAGCCGTCAACAATGCACATTTTATAGTCGCCGGAGAAAACGAAGGCGAGAGCTCGAGCTCTACTTCACATCCCCTTGAGGAACAGCAAGACCGATTATCTGATTCAATGAACGACCTTTTTGATCAAACGGCGAAGGATTCAAATCTTTTTTCTCTGGCTTAAGACGATGTAAGCGTCGATGTGCCTCCAGTGACAAATCACTCTCCAAAAAGCCCGCCAAGCACTGTCGAAATCCCGCCAAAATCTTATTCGCTGGAAGGAGCCCAAGACGCTGGATTACTCCAGATATTCTAGCTTCCACTTCAACATCTTCGTGTTCGCTTGGGCGATCTGTATAATCAACGTCACAGATACAGTATGGTTTCTATATCAGTCATTTTAACCTCCTTGAAATGTCAATCATAATCCAAAAATTATAATTTCAGGTTACCTTTGTATTGTTACTTGCTTTTTACTTAATTAATAGGCCACATTACAGGGCTACCCTCTCCCTCAGAGCTTACAGGCGGCGCGCCCAAGATTCTGAGGTGAAGGTAGTCTCTCTTTTGAAATGTCGGTCATAATCCAAACAATTTTTGTAGGTGATTTTTGTAGTGTCATAGGCCAAATTATAGGGCTACCCTCTCCCTCAGAGCTTACAGGCGGCGCGCCCAAGATTCAGAGGTGAAGGTAGTCTTTCTTGTAAAATGTCGGTCATAATACAAATTATTTTTGTAGGTTGTTTTTGTACTGTCATTTGTTTTTGAAATAGGCCAAATTATGGGGCTACCCTCTCCCTCAGAGCTTACAGGCGGCGCGCCCAAGATTCTGAGGTGATGGTAGTCTCTCTTTTGAAATGTCGGTCATTATCCAAATTATTATTATAGGTCATCTTCGTTTTGTCATTTGTTTTGAAATTGGCCAAATTATGGGGCTACCCTCTCCCTCAGAGCTTACAGGCGGCGCGCCCAAGATTCTGAGGTGATCGTAGTCTCTCTTATAAAATGTCGGTCATTTATCCAAATTATTATTGTAGGTTATTTTTGCATTGTCATTTGTTTCTGCAATAGGCCAAATTATGGGGCTACCCTCTCCCTCAGAGCTTACAGGCGGCGCGCCCAAGATTCTGAGGTGATGTTAGTCTCTCTTTTAAAATGTCGGTCATTTATCCAAATTATTATTGTAGGTTATTTTTGTAGTGTTATTTGTTTTTGAAATAGGCCAAATTAATTATAGGGCTACCCTCTCCCTCAGAGCTTACAGGCGGCGCGCCCAAGATTCTGAGGTGATGGTAGTCTCTCTCTTGAAATGTCGGTCATTACCCAAATTATTATCGTAGGTCATCTTTGTTTTGTCATTTGTTTTGAAATAGGCCAAATTATGGGGCTACCCTCTCCCTCGGAGCTTACAGGCGGCGCGCCCAACATTCTGCGGTGATGGTAGTCTCTCTTTTGAAATGTCGGTCATTATCCAAATTATTATTGTAGGTTATTTTTGTAGTGTTATTTGTTTTTGAAATAGGCCAAATTAATTATGGGGCTACCCTCTCCCTCAGAGCTTACAGGCGGCGCGCCCAAGATTCTGAGGTGATGGTAGTCTCTCTTTTGAAATGTCGGTCATTATCCAAATTATTATTGTAGGTTATTTTTGTAGTGTCATTTGTTTTTGAAACAGGCCAAATTAATTATGGGGCTACCCTCTCCCTCAGAGCTTACAGGCGGCGCGCCCAAGATTCTGAGGTGATGGTAGTCTCTCTTTTGAAATGTCGGTCATTATCCAAATTATTATTTTAGTTCTTCTTTGTACTGTCATTTGTTTTGGAATAGGCCAAAATATGGGGCTACCCTCTCCCTCAGAGCTTACAGGCGGCGCGCCCAAGATTCTGAGGTGATGGTAGTCTCTCTTTTAAAATGTCGGTCATTTATCCAAATTATTATTGTAGGTTATTTTTGCATTGTCATTTGTTTCTGAAATAGGCCAAATTATGGGGCTACCCTCTCCCTCAGAGCTTACAGGCGGCGCGCCCAAGATTCTGAGGTGATGGTAGTCTCTCTTTTGAAATTTCGGTCATTATCAAAATTATTATTTTAGTTCTTCTTTGTACTGTCATTTGTTTTGACATAGGCCAAAATATGGGGCTACCCTCTCCCTCAGAGCTTACAGGCGGCGCGCCCAAGTTTCTGAGGTGATGGTAGTCTCTCTTTTAAAATGTCGGTCATTTATCCAAATTATTATTGTAGGTTATTTTTGCATTGTCATTTGTTTCTGAAATAGGCCAAATTATGGGGCTACCCTCTCCCTCAGAGCTTACAGGCGGCGCGCCCAAGATTCTGAGGTGATGGTAGTCTCTCTTTTGAAATTATAATTGTAGGTTATTTTTGTAGTGTCATTTGTTTTTGAAATAGGCCAAATTATGGGGCTTCCCTTTCCCTCAGAGCTTACAGGCGGCGCGCCCAAGATTCTGAGGTGAAGGTTGTTTCTCTTTTAAACTGTCAGTCGTCAACCATAGTATTATTGAATTTTCATTTTCCAGAGTTCATAGTGGTACCTTCTTTATAGTTTTACGTGATTTGTGGCAAAGACAAGACCAAGCTAACAAATTTATTCTACTTTATGCGTGGTGCGACAATCACCGTGGCTGACTGGCCTCCAAAGTTCCTTTATAATTTGGACGCTTCTCAGGAGTTCCTTCACTGCTTGTAATCCAGAATTGGCGATTCTCAGCAGCTTGAAGCTCTTGCTTTTCATCAGTTGTTCCTTGGACGGCGACCTTTTCTTGTCCCGAGTACAATATCGATTCTCGATTCTCGACTCTCGATTACCGTATCTTGCTGGTGCAAGGTTTCAGCAACGGGACCAGTGCTAAAACCATTGCAGGAATATCACTGTCAAACTGCGCAACAGAATGCACGAAAAACCTCTCCGGTAGTTGAAAAAAAAAGAAAAAGAACCTGCGATGTAATTAGGTAACTTATTCATGGTGTTCAGCTTCCGGTTTATTCAGCTTATTGCCAGTTGTAGGCAAAGTTCACGCGCACATTATCGCATTCTAACTGGGTCGATTGTGAGGAAACTGTTATGTCAGTCATTGACTAAAAACCCCCGCGCGTTAAGCCTTTGTGTGACGGACGTCCCTTAGAAAAATAAATTGCCCACACTGATCACCAATTCTACTTGCAAAGTGTTGCTGATTGAGTTGTGTAATGTATTCTAGAGTGTAAATTTAGTACTAACCTCGCAGACAAGGATGCAATGAGACATTTATTTTGCGTAGTTAGGCCTGCTATCCATTGGGCAACCATCCCATTTATTTTCTTTCGATAGCCTGTCCATGCACTAACCTTTGGGTACAGAAACTAGCTGCCTCTCGCTGTACCAAAACTTGATAGTTTTGGCGTTCAATATTTTTAACGGATGCTCACAAAACACCGGGACTGCATCGTGCGCCTTTGGCGCTTTGGTATCCTGCGAGCTTTGGTTCATCGCGTTTTGAAAGATGGAAATTTTGATATTCCCGCGAAAAAGAAGACCGATAAAACGCATCTTTCATTGACGACAGTGAAACGCCCGGAAATGAAGGATGTTTTGAAAGAAACGGGAAAACTGATAAAAGTAAATATTTGTTTTGATCAAGTGAAATTAATGAGAAATAACCATAAACTAGTTTTGTGTTTTTGTTTTTTAAAAGCGGTTTGTCTGGTACCAGATTTGTACAATTACTTTCAATCAAACATGGATCGGGTTTTGTTAATTATGACAGAATGTAATTAAAAAGCATTATGTTGACAGCTACAAGGCACATGCTTGCCTTAAGCTGCGAGTGTCCCGCCATGTTTTAAACAAAGGGCCTCTGACCAAGCCGGCATTCTAATCCGCCACAAATATGTGAAGCACGCGTCTTTCAAAGTCGCCTAGTACTTAAAATCGGCGCTCTGGCCTGTTATGATTTTTAGTGTTTCCTTGGATTACGGCTTTCTGAAAGTTAGAAATGTTTTATTTGACAATACTAATGTCCTCCTTTATTTCTTGAGCATTTTGTTTTAATGAAAGGTGTTGTTTTACGTTAACAACATAACCCGTTTAATACGGACACCCCCACAGTGTCCGTAAAAACAGGGTTAATGTTTAACTGTACAAGGACTGTTCAGATAGCAAAATCCCTTAAAAAGGCAGTCACTTTTTTATTAAACCTATTTGGTTTTCTCGGCCACCACCCACCACGTAAACGCCATGTCACGTAAAAGATTAAAATTCAAAACGAAGAGCCCTTTCGATGGGAATTTTTTTAGAAATATACGTTTTTCGCTGCTCTACAGCTCAGGAGGTTCGATAATTCTTTATTTTTGAATTTTGCCTTTGGATGTTATGTGAAAACCAAAAAAAGGAGTCTCTGGACGGGCTGAACAAGCGAGTGTCTCCCCGCCACTTCGACTGTGTCCTCTCCGGTCGGATCTCTCAACGATTCAGGGAAAATTGAGTCGCGATAACAAACAAACTGAGCCCTGGTGGGGTAGACTGCGAACAAGCCTCCCCCACCCCGAGGGCTTGGTCAGAACTCGATGACATGGAGTTTATGGATGAGTTGCTGGCGGTAACGAAATAATGTGTCAAGAACATCTGTCGAAAGGTGACTTGAAGATTTTCTCTTTTTGAGGTAAGCTCTTTCTTGTTTTTAGATGTCACGAGGAGGACGTACTTTGTGGGTATAAATAAAGGTAAACTGAAACTAAACCATCCGGGTTCGAAGAGAATCTGCAGAGCTCGAACTTTCGGTATGTACTGCTCCCGCTGGGCTTTTAAATATAATAAAACCTTTTGCTAAACTGTCAGTGATGGGCTCATATGAAAGTCCTATATTCACCTTGGAACGTCAAAAAGTACGAGTCGTTAACTAACAAAGTTATTAGGCAAGTCAAAGTCAGTTAACAGATGTCTGCACCGATTTGTCAGTACGATGCGCGACAAAGTTGAAACTGCAACAATTCGATTTGCCAATGGTAGTTCGTTGTATGCATGAACTTATGGGCATGTAATTAAGATTCAATAAATGGGCTTGGGTTGTGATTAAATCCCGAGCATTGCATTCCTAATTCGCTATGTATGAGGCCACTACGGCTGGTTTATATAGACTTAGTATGTATAATTAATTGCTTCCGTGTTGTTTATTTAATATCTTTAGCTTCTCTCGTGTGTTTATTTAATAGTCTGCAGTATAAACAGGCTGATTTCACGCAAAAATTGCAACTGAAAATTATTCAGCGCCCTGGTATAGTTCTCATGATGCAAAATTTATACCTGCCAACTTTTTCTGAGATGTAGGCGTGAGATTTTTATCCTGGGAGTGCTGGGATTCTTGAAAACGACACGATCATTTCCGAAGATTCCCGAAGAAGTCCGAAGTCTTCCGAAGACGTCCGAAGTCTGCCGAAGGCGAAGGTATCGAGAAAACGCTTATCCACAAAATCAGAGATCGCGAGGAAGGTATTGTCATAGTATTCATTTTACACATGGTTTTCGTTCCTTACATGGGTCTGCCGGTCTGAGTTAACATATTTTTGGAAATTGTGTCAAGCAAGACGGCAACAACTCACATTAATCAATCAGGCGTGAGAAATTGGTCCGCAGGCGTGAGCGGGCGTGAGATCGAAGTTTTCAACCCGCAGGCGTGAGAGTTGGCAGGTATACAAAATTGCAGTTGTTTCAGTAGACTTTGTTTGTGCAGACGAAGGCATCTTTCGTGATTATGCAAATCAGAAACCTGTTCACCGCTTTATTATACCGATCGTTCTATCGCTACTTCATGGATATACCTAGAATTAATTACCGTATATGACGACAAAAGTGCGATCCGAATTGCCTATTTCCATAAAGGGTCCACTGGGTGTGTTAATACCAACTGGGTTCTTCCATTCTTATTCCCGATGGTTATTGTTGACATCCCTTATCTCCTGTTTTAATCTCGATTCTCACCCAAAATCCCGAATGTCTGGGAGGGGGCGAACTACAAAATCCCGATAGTCGACGTAATTAATGATTGCTGCGGTCATTGATTTAGGCTAGGCCTACTCTCCACGTCCGAATGAAGAGCTTCACATTACTAGCAGTGCAAAAGCTAAGGAACGATTAGGCAATGTGAACTCTAAATTTCAGGTCTTTGCATATACAATACCTTCTGGAATATCAAAGGATAGATACCAGTTTAAGCCACTTTGTTTTCATTTGGTCAAAGTTAGCTCGTTCTTTATGTGATATAAATGCAAGCTGTCACAACCAATGCGTTTTTAGGGAAGGTACGTTTTTAATGGGGGGAGGGGAACATGCGAGTGTCTCCCCGCCACTTCGACTGTGTCCTCTCCGGTCGGATCTCTCAGCGATTCAGGGAAAATTGAGTCGGGATAACAAACAAACTGAGCCCTGGTGGGGTAGACTGCGAACAAGCCTCCCCCACCCCGAGGGCTTGTTCAGAACTCGATGACATGGAGTTTATGGATGAGTTGCTGGCGGTAACGAAATAATGTGTCTAGAACATCTGTCGAAAGGTGTCTTGAAGATCTTCTCTTTTTGAGGTAAGCTCTTTCTTGTTTTTAGATGTCACGAGGAGGACGTACTTTGTGGGTATAAATAAAAGGTAAAATGAAACTAAACCATCCGGGTTCGAAGAGAATCTGCAGAGCTCGAACTTTCGGTATGTACTGCTCCCGCTGGGCTTTTAAATATATTCACCTTGGAACGTCAAAAAGTACGAGTCGTTAACTAACAAAGTTATTAGGCAAGTCAAAGTCAGTTAACAGATGTCTGCACCGATTTGTCAGTACGATGCACGACAAAGTTGAAACTGCAACAATTCGATTTGCCAATGATAGTTCGTTGTGTGCATGAACTTATGGGCATGTAATTAAGATTCAATAAATGGGCTTGGGTTGTGATTAAATCCCGAGCATTGCATTCCTAATTCGCTCTGCATGAGGCCAGTACGGCTGATTTATATAGACTTAGTATGCATGATTAATTGCTTCTTGTTGTTTATTTAATATCTTTAGCTTCTCTCGTGTGTTTATTTAATAGTCTGCAGTATAAACAGGCTGATTTCACGCAAAAATTGCAACTGAAAATTATTCAGCGTCCTGATATAGTTCTCATAATGCAAATAATTAGCTTTGATTGCAGTTGGTCCAGTAGACTTTGTTTGTGCAGACGAAGGCATCTTTCGTGATTATGCAAATCAGAAACCTGTTCACCGCGGGACTTCCGTCGAATTTCATTACTATCCCTACTTCATGGATATACCTCGAATTAATTACCTTATATGATCATGATATACCTGCCAACTCTCACGCCTTAGGCGTGAGTCTCACGCCTGCGGGTTGAAAACTTCGATCTCACGCCGGCTCACGCCTGCGGGCCAATTTCTCACGCCTGATTGAAAAAGGTGAGTTGTTGCCGTCTTGCTTGACACAATTTCCAAAAATATGTTAACTCAGACCCATGTAAGGAACGAAAACCATGTGTAAAATGAATAAATGACAATACCTTCCTCGCCATATCTGATTCTTGAAGTGAAAAGCACTGGCAGCCAGCTCGCCTTCGGAAGACCTCGGACTTCTTCGGAAGACTTCGGACTTCTTCGGGAATCTTCGGAAATGATCGTGTCGTCTTCAAAAATCCCAGCACTCCCAGGATAAAAATCTCACGCTTATATCTCAGAAAAAGTTGGCAGGTATATCATGATGACACAAGTGCGATCCGAATTGCCTACTTCCATAAAGAAGGGTCCATTGGGTGTGTTAATACCAATTGGGTTCTTCCATTCTTATTCCCGATGATTATTGTCGACATGCCTTATCTCCTGTTGTAATCTCGATTCTCACCCAAAATCCTGAATGTCTGGGAGGGGGCGAACTACAAAATCCCGATAGTCGACGTAATTAATAATTGCTGCGGTCATTGATTTAGGCTAGGCCTACTCTCCACGTCCGAATGAAGAGCTTCACATTACTAGCAGTGCAAAAGCTAAGGAAAGATTAGGCAATGTGAACTCTAAATTTTAGGTCTTTGCATATACAATACCTTCTGGAATATCAAGGGATAGATACCACACGCCTTTTTGCATTCGCAGTGTACGGTGAGGGCTCTTTTCGGTGGAGCGCTTGTATTTTTGTTGTTTTATCAGTTTTCCAAGTATATTTGTTCCTCACTTGTCTAACCCCACCGAGCGCGGTCCCTTGCATGCTAATGAAGGTATGGTTGCCGTGTTCATTTTTTTCATGTCAAAACGATCTGTCAAAACTATAATACGTTGTTTTGGGGGAGTACTGAATATAAATTGTCACGTGTTGTCTATTTTATTAGGCATCACTCTACAATGTTGACATATCGGAAATCTAAACTGTCCACGTTGTAAGCTGCAACTTGTTTACAGTTCACATTGAGCCCTTAATTCTTTAGGGGCTCAACAAGGCTCTTAGAGTGTCACTCATAATAAGTCAAGCCTTCATATAGTTGTCCATATAAATCGTCTCACTTTATATCTTCTTTAGCTGATTTACTTACTTGGGATGCTTTCCTTCCCAACTTTACTTTAGATGTTACTATTTTCTTACTTTGCTTACTTGAGATGCTTTGCTCAGTTGAGGTGCTTTACTTACTTGAGATGATTTGCTTGCTTGAGGTGCTTTGCTTGCTGAGATGCTTTGCTTTCTTGAGATGCTTTGCTTACTTGAGATGCTTTGCTTACTTGAGATGCTTTGCTTGCTTGAGGTGCTTTGCTTCCTTGTGATACTTTGCTTACTTAAGGTGCTTTGCTTGCTTGAGGTGCTTTGCTTGCTTGCTATACTTTGCTTACTTGAGGTGCTTTGCTTGCTTGCTATACTTTGCTTTCTTGAGGTGCTTTGCTTGCTTGAGGTGCTTTGCTTGCTGAGATGCTTTGCTTTCTTGAGATGCTTTGCTTACTTGAGATGCCTTATATGATCATGATGACAAAAGTGCGATCCGAATTGCCTACTTCCATAAAGAAGGGTCCATTGGGTGTGTTAATACCAATTGTGTTCTTCCATTCTTATTCCCGATGATTATTGTCGACATGCCTTATCTCCTGTTGTAATCTCGATTCTCACCCAAAATCCTGAATGTCTGGGAGGGGGCGAACTACAAAATCCCGATAGTCGACGTAATTAATAATTACTGCGGTCATTGATTTAGGCTAGGCCTACTCTCCACGTCCGAATGAAGAGCTTCACATTACTAGCAGTGCAAAAGCTAAGGAAAGATTAGGCAATGTGAACTCTAAATTTTAGGTCTTTGCATATACAATACCTTCTGGAATATCAAGGGATAGATACCACACGCCTTTTTGCATTCGCAGTGTACGGTGAGGGCTCTTTTCGGTGGAGCGCTTGTATTTTTGTTGTTTTATCAGTTTTCCAAGTATATTTGTTCCTCACTTGTCTAACCCCACCGAGCGCGGTCCCTTGCATGCTAATGAAGGTATGGTTGCCGTGTTCATTTTTTTCATGTCAAAACGATCTGTCAAAACTATAATACGTTGTTTTGGGGGAGTACTGAATATAAATTGTCACGTGTTGTCTATTTTATTAGGCATCACTCTACAATGTTGACATATCGGAAATCTAAACTGTCCACGTTGTAAGCTGCAACTTGTTTACAGTTCACATTGAGCCCTTAATTCTTTAGGGGCTCAACAAGGCTCTTAGAGTGTCACTCATAATAAGTCAAGCCTTCATATAGTTGTCCATATAAATCGTCTCACTTTATATCTTCTTTAGCTGATTTACTTACTTGGGATGCTTTCCTTCCCAACTTTACTTTAGATGTTACTATTTTCTTACTTTGCTTACTTGAGATGCTTTGCTCAGTTGAGGTGCTTTACTTACTTGAGATGATTTGCTTGCTTGAGGTGCTTTGCTTGCTGAGATGCTTTGCTTTCTTGAGATGCTTTGCTTACTTGAGATGCTTTGCTTACTTGAGATGCTTTGCTTGCTTGAGGTGCTTTGCTTCCTTGTGATACTTTGCTTACTTAAGGTGCTTTGCTTGCTTGAGGTGCTTTGCTTGCTTGCTATACTTTGCTTACTTGAGGTGCTTTGCTTGCTTGCTATACTTTGCTTTCTTGAGGTGCTTTGCTTGCTTGAGGTGCTTTGCTTACTTGAGGTGCTTTGCTTTCTTGAGATGCTTTGCTTACTTGAGGTGCTTTGGTTACTTGAGATGCTTTGCTTTCTTGAGGTGCTTTGCTTACTTGAGGTGCTTTGCTTTCTTGAGATGCTTTGCTTACTTGAGGTGCTTTGCTTGCTTGAGGTGCTTTGCTTTCATGAGGTGCTTTGCTTTCTTGAGCTGCTTTGCTTTCTTGAGATGCTTTGCTTTCTTGAGGTGCTTTGCTTACTTGAGATGCTTTGCTTGCTTGAGGTGCTTTGCTTACTTGAGATGCTTTGCTTGCCTGAGGTGCTTTGCTTACTTGAGATGCTTTGCTTGCTTGAGGTGCTTTGCTTTCTTGAGGTGCTTTGCTTACTTGAGGTGCTTTGCTTACTTGAGATGCTTTGCTTGCTTGAGGTGCTTTGCTTACTTCAGGTGCTTTGCTTTCTTGAGATGCTTTGCTTACTTGAGGTGCTTTGCTTGCTTGAGGTGCTTTGCTTTCATGAGGTGCTTTGCTTTCTTGAGGTGCTTTGCTTTCTTGAGATGCTTTGCTTTCTTGAGGTGCTTTGTTTACTTGAGATGCTTTGGTTACTTGAGATGCTTTGGTTACTTGAGGTGCTTTGGTTGCTTGAGGTGCTTTGCCTGCTTGACATGCTTTGCTTACTTGAGGTGCTTTGCTTGCTTGAGATACTCTGCTTGCTTGAGGTGCTTTGCTTGCTTGAGGTGCTTTGCTTACTTGAGGTGCTTTGGTTACTTGAGGTGCTTTGCTTACTTGAGATGCTTTGCTTGCTTGAGGTGCTTTGCCTGCTTGACATGCTTTGCTTACTTGAGATGCTTTGCTTGCTTGAGGTACTCTGCTTGCTTGAGGTGCTTTGCTTGCTTGAGATACTCTGCTTGCTTGAGGTGCTTTGCTTGCTTGAGGTGCTTTGCTTACTTGAGGTGCTTTGGTTACTTGAGGTGCTTTGCTTACTTGAGATGCTTTGCTTGCTTGAGGTGCTTTGCCTGCTTGACATGCTTTGCTTACTTGAGATGCTTTGCTTGCTTGAGGTGCTTTGCCTGCTTGACATGCTTTGCTTACTTGAGATGCTTTGCTTGCTTGAGGTGCTTTGCCTGCTTGACATGCTTTGCTTACTTGAGATGCTTTGCTTGCTTGAGGTACTCTGGTTGCTTCAGGTGCTTTACTTGCTTGAGATGCTTTGGTTACTTGAGATGCTTTGCTTACTTGAGGTGCTTTGCTTGCTTGAGGTGCTTTGCTTACTTGAGGTGCTTTGCGTACTTGAGGTGCTTGCTTACTGGAGGTGCTTTGCTTGCTTGAGGTGCTTTGCTTGCTTGAGGTGCTTTGCTTACTTGAGATGCTTTGCTAGCTTGAGATGCTTTGCTTACTTGAGGTGCTTTGCTTACTTGAGGTGCTTTGCCTGCTTGACATGCTTTGGTTACTTGAGATGCTTTGCTAGCTTGAGATGCTTTGCTTATTCGAGGTACTTTGCTTGCTTGAGGTGCTTTGGTTACTTGAGATGCTTTGCTAGCTTGAGGTGCTTTGGTTACTTGAGATGCTTTGCTTGCTTGAGGTGCTTTGCTTACTCGAGATGCTTTGCTTACCGAAAGATGCTTTACTTGCTTGAAGTGCTTTGCTTACTTGAGGTGCTTTCCTTGCTAAGTATGCTTTGCTTTCTTGAGGTGCTTTCCTTACTTACCACTCTACGACGCTTGCCTTGATTGATTTGCATGAAAAACTTTTATCTGCTACTGATCGTGGTGAATTAGGGGTTGGTGTCTTTTTGGATGCCTCGAAACCTTTCGATACAGTCAATCAATCCATCTTATTTGATAAATTTGAACACTGTGGTATACCTGGCTTGGCTCTGAAATAGATTAAGAGCTATTTTTCCAACAGACTTCAATTTGTAGAATACAATGGTTATGTTTCGTCTCGTGCTAATATCATGTGTGGCTTTCCCCAAGGTTCAATACTAGGGTCTTTGTTTTTTCTGCTCTACATCAACGATATAATCAACACATCAACAATATTACAATTGATATTATTTGCAGATGATGACAAACGTATTTGTGTCTTACAAGGACAAAGACTGCTTGACTAATATACTGAACGCTGAGCTAAATAAGTTGTCAATATGGTTTAGAGCTAACATGCTTTCGTTAAACTTGAAAAAAACTAAATTTATTGTATTTAAACAATGCCAAAAGCGTACAAATAAAACTATTCAACTTTTAATTAATGGCCAAAAAGTTGATCGGGTAAAAGAAACAGTTTTCTTGGGAGTAATCATGGATGAAAATTTAAAATGGAAACCTGAACTCTCACATGTCGCCAATAAAGTTTCTAAATGCACAGGAATTATATTCGTAAATCCGGTTTCTATTTATCTACGAAAGCTTTACGAACACTATATTTTTCTCTAGTCTATCCATACTTTTTTTGTTGCAACTTAGTTTAATTTGGGCCTCTACTTGCAGAACTAACCTTATTCGTCATGAGATTTTACAGAAACGAGTGATCAGAACTATAGCTGAAACTACTTTCGATGCACATACTGATCCAATCTTTCAAAATCTTGGTATCTTAAAATTTCATGATATATACTTAATACAACTAGGCTTATTCATGTACTCCTATCAAAACCATACTCTACCTTTAAAATTTCATGGTAAATTTACCTTACAAAGTCAAATTCATTTGTATTATACAAGAAACTCGTGTAAATTTCGTCTGCCTTTCTGTCGTACCCGAACCAAACAATTTTCCTTATTTTATCATGGACCTAAATTTTACAACACCTTAAACACCAACATCATCAACGCTTCCTCCCCTTTTTCCTTTAAAAGAGCACTTAAGGCATTTATTTGTAATAATTATTAGTATACTAAACAAAAATCTTGGGAAAAAGCCTTTTAATATTCAACGTTTGTAAACTTCCGTAATATTGATTGTATTTTAATTTTCCACCTGATATTATTTTGTATCCCGTCGCCGTAATTTTTATACCATCTTCGAAAAATTGTAATTGAGGAGGCCTAATTAACATAAGCTTTATAGTTTCCTTTAGGCCTCCTCGCCATTTCTTCCTACATTTTTTTTGGCATCTTTTTGTAATTGTAATCGTGTGGCAAATAAATAAATACAAATACAATACAAATACGTGAGGTGCTTTGCTCACTTGAGATGCTTTGCTTGTTTGAAGTGCTTTGCTTAAAGATGCTTAGCTTGCTTGAGGTGCTTTGCTTACGTGAGGTGCTTTGCTTGCTTGAGATGCTTTGCTTACTTGAGATGCTTTGCTTGCTTGAGGTGCTTTGCTTGCTTGAGGTGCTTTGCTTACTGGAGGTGCTTTGCTTGCTTGAGGTGCTTTGCTTGCTTGAGATGCTTTGTTTGCTTGAGGTGCTCTGCTTGCTTGAGCTGCTTGATAGGTATTTTTTTTCAATATCTTTCAGGTTCTCTAGATTAATTATCAAAAGGTAATACAGGCCTATGCGTATAACCCAACATGTACATCAGACTCCATCTGTGAGCTACGCCCCAGGAAAATCTCTATAAAAATCGTTGTTATTTAATAAATAATTAATTGGACTTTGGTTGTGAGAGCCATTCCTGTAGGGAGTAGGGGGAAGGGGGTGAGATGGGTGCGCTCGCACTCCTCCCCACACCACCACCACAGGCCCCAGAGGTTCACTTTTTTGTTTACCAAGGATTAATTTGAATCAAAGTGAATTAATAATATTTTCAAATTCTTCATTAATTGTGTAGTAAAGCATAATCACAAAACGTGTTTTTGTTAGCCTTCGTCTAAAGGTATAGAAAAGGGTCTTTGGTATGCCGACAAGGCATTTACTCCTTGTTAATACGTCACAAATGTTATCCTTAAAGAATAAAGTCTGTTTTAATTGGAGGATTCGTTGTGCGGATTGAGCAAATGTTTTCTTGCCGAGTTTCTTTTTACTGGGAGCCTTGTGGCTTTTTACTGTTCAGTGGTTGCCTGTGGATTCTTATCTTTACTGCTTCAGGCCCAGAGGACGAAATTTCAAGAATGCGTAAATGGAAACTTAACGTAAACACGTAAAACCGTTGCGGAAACATGACGGCAATCACATGTTTCCATTAGCGGATACATTACGTTTATCCCTGTTTCCGTCGCTGCGTTTTCGGCGGAATCGTACCACTTTTTTATACGTTTCCGTCAAATTTTCGACTAAGGAAACACGTGTTTCCGCAAGCGTAAATGCGTGGCATCCTTGCGGAAACACGCGAAAACATTCCGGAAACAAGTCAATTTCATGTTTCCGTCAACGTGATCGGATGTAACTATTGCGGAAACACGAGTTTACGAGTCGGAAACTGGTGTTTTCAAGTTATTTCCATCGCTGCTTGTTCCTTTGATCTACCCTCATGTTCTTCACTGTTGTTTTTCAGTTAAAATTGTCATTAACAGTGTAGAATTTCTTTCCAGCTTTGATCAGTTCAACAATTTTGTCATGAAATTGTCCTCCCATGAGATCCAGTAGATTGATCATAGAGGTGTGTGACAAGCACACCCCTTGCTTTTCTAAACGTCCATATGTCTGAAATAATAATAATAAAAAAACAATTTAAAATGATAGTCATCATCAAATTAAAGAAAATCCTAAAAGAACCCCAGGGGAGGTACATCCATACACGAGGCTAATGGGGATGTGCTGCTGGATGGGGTCGCATTTTTACGGCTGGATTGACTATAATGGGCTCGCATTTTCAATAGATTTACTAGAATGCGGTCGACACATTTTCTGCTTATCTGTACAAAGAGTACTAATGTATGTGTAACATTGTAGTCTGTGTTTTTTCAATGAGTTTATTATGACACAGAACCAAAAGATCACAGTGCCTGTTGCAAAAATTAAGAAGGTGCATCTCTAACTGCCATACACGTCTATAGCATATCAAATTATAGAATTCACATGCAATGAGCGGGGAACTTCTCAAAAATTGTACCATTTTTACTTCTGTACGTAATTTATAGCAAGAAAGAAAGGAAAGAAGAATAATTACAAAAACAGCTTGCAGTAAGGGACTGATCATTAGGGACCTTAAGATACTCTGGACGCGGCTGAGGAGGACGTCGACCGGAAGTGAAATGTTCAATTCTTGGACCTAAAGTCGCGACGGTGAAAACTAGAAGTTTAATGGCCGCCTCGTAAAACGGTGAGTTGCTTTTCTTGTTTTCAGTGCAGAAATTGCTTTTCGTACAGGATTTTCGATCCATTTTACTTAATGAGACACATTTAAGTGTTTTTAGTGAGGTGTTCTCTCAAGATTGCCTCTTATTTTTTTGCTATCAAGCCTTTTGGGTTCAGTGTTTTGGCGGCAACTGAGAATGAAAGTGCTGAGTCTTTCGACACAAATGTAACACTATAACTGCTTGTTTTTAAGGGGACAACGTTCTCGCTTTAGGATAGTATTTGAAAACTTTAAGAGACAAGAAGTCGAATGAAAATTGTTGAAAAACAAAAAATCTAGGCTTGTAATAAACTTGAACATGTCGGAGAAAATTGAGATCTTGAACAAGACGCCATGGTTCATTTATTAACTTTTATAATTTTATTTTGTTCACTTTCAGTTCAGCGATGGAGCGGTACTACATCGTTTTAAAGCAAGATCTAGAACAACGGAAAGCGAAAAAGTCTGGCAACAAATAGCTGATAAACTGAACTCCGATCATACCCTCAAGTTTCCCTCGAAGAAATTCGTTTTTTTTTAGAAAAACTGGAGTAATAGCCGGCAGCACAAATTTTTCTTCCAATAAAAGGTCGTTAAGGTATCAATCAAGCAAGACTTCACGACTTATGGAATTAAAACACGAAAGCATTACTTTATCCTCTCTCGTCAGGCGAGCACTCAACCCAACCTGCTCAATCTTAATTTGTTTTTCCCGCGAAGGTGGCGGCGTCCTCGCTCCAGGCTTTCTCCGTTCTCTTTACCGCCGCGTCCAGGGTATCTTAAGGTCCCTATTATTTAGAGGTAGCCACGGCTGCTACAAATAGACCTATTCAGCTAACTCAATGTTGTACCCAATTCAAACCCTTTGGGAATAAAACGTTTTGTTTCAGGAATTTCCATATCATTTAAATGTGAATGCCACATTATAATGCAAATACAATACACAAAGAATCTTATCTCCGGGAGATTTGAATTGGGCACAACATTGAGTTAGCCGAATAGGACTATAGGGAAAGGGTCCATGATTTGAGACAAAAGGGGGGAGGCAGACAAATCTATCCATGTATCTAAGCAACATCAGAGCCATGGAGGGAACAAAGGGTGGTTGGTTTGTTGTCACCATAATCTTTTACAAACAGAGTTACCAGCACACGAGAACTTGATTTAAAGCATTTTAATTACCTTTGGGTTATTGAGTCCTGCTTTCTCTAAAGAAAAAGCTTGCACCGGTTGGGGGATTTTGGTGGGCTGGATGGTCTGTACAAATAAAAATCAAAAGCAATAAATTAGCTGCATATTTTTGGCAATCTTTTCAAACTGATTTATTTCTGTACCTTTGGGTTCTTAATGCCTGCCATCTGTGAAGGAATTAACAGTTGAAACTAGTTGGATTTTGGTTGGCTGGTTGGATGGAGCAGACTGCAAAGTACATAACCGCAATTTAGTTTATGAGTAACTAGAAATCCTGAGCAGCCCATCTTATGCCTATGTAGCTTATCTATATTAAACGTGATATTCCAATACGATTCTTACCGTCGGGTTATTACCCGGTTCTTTATGACACACAGGCCTTTTAACTAGCTGGCGTTGGAATTCTGGAAATTTTCACATGCGAATCTGAGGCCACATTCATACTCTGAAATCACAAGACATTCAATTTGTAAGGAATTGAGACCGTGTTAAAGTTAGGCACCAGTAGTATAAGTTAAAACCGGTAGTAAATACTCTCAGGCCGAGGTTGACTTACCTGATTTCCTTGTAGTACATGTATGGCAGAAGCAGAACATCTTGTATTGCTTATGCTCACCTCCTGATCACTCGTTTGCTGGTTCCCGAAAGGTAAACGTTTTCGTGCTGAAGTCACCATTGAGTGCGGTATTTTTCTTGGCTTTTCGGTGCTTTGGGAAGTATTTCCCGTCCGAGACCGTTTCTTGATGTTTTCTTGTCTACTTGTTATCAGTTCGCGTTCAAGTTCCTTCTGTGTACTCTGGCAGGTCGAGGCAAATATTTCTAAGTTCTTGTTTAGACGTAGAACTTTATCATGACAACTTCTGCAACAAAACTTAGAAAGTTCGTCCCTCTCTGGGACTTCAATTTCACATACTCTAAGAATAATCCTTTTTAACTGTAACGCCTTTCCACTATCGCTGAAAAAATTCTTTTCGTGGTCGTCTCACACACAACCGGCACTTACTTTTTAAAATATGGTCCGTCAAAGTTTTGGGATCCTTCCATGTCTCACGACAGCTGGAGCGGCCATCCAAAAAACCGCGAAAATTTGGAACCGTTAAAAGAGCCAATCATAGCGTTTGTTTTATCACGGCACAACTTTTAGCAGGAACCAATGAAAAATGGCCTTGTATCCACCTTTACCAGATCTCACTTTTCAGTGTAAAACAGAGTGAGATCTGGGTACGAGATTAACACAGAACTTGAAAATCTACCTTCGTCACACTTGACTAAACACAGCAGTCCAGCTCGTGGGAAAAAAACTTAGTTCGTCAAAAGAACTCGCTTGGAACTTGTATACCGTTTGACATAAGGTTCTAGAAAATACTAAACAGGCGAATAGTAGTAGCTTTTCGACATATTTTATGATTTCAGTAACTGATGCAAATCCGCTCACTCATACTGAAATGTAAACATGCCGCTAATTAATTATTCATGAATAATCCAAAAACGTAGAGAACGTTCGGGAAAGTCACGGAACGCATGAAAGCAATTTTACTACGTAACACTCAACAAAGACAGAATGTCTTTGTGCAGCATTTTGTAACTTTAAATTCATCATAAAACAGTTCGAAAGGAGGGCTCACTCGTGAAATGTTTTGCAACACTCGAAGAGAAATTTCGTGTCTCTGCGTGGCCACGTAATATCCTCTATTTATTCCTCGAGTAAATTAAAGACTAAACTCGAAGTGATCTCAAGATATCACAAAGAAGTCCGGTTTCATTTCGTGAAATAGCCAAAACAAGCCGAAACGTTGCGAACTTGCACGCTCAATCTTGTCCAGAAACTAGTGCATAATTTCATAACTATTTTTCATATCCCGAACTACCTTGGGTCGCAGTAGCGCAATCGGCTAATCCCTCAACTTAGAGTCTCCTCTGACCTGATGGGTCACACCGGTGAGTCGATTCAAACACCCCGGGGAAGCCAAACTAATAATTCTTTCTTCCTCGAAAGAGTTAAAGAATAAATCAAAGAAATCGAAGTGATCTCGAGATATCTCTAACTAATTCGGCTCTCACTTCGTCAAATAGCCGAATAAAACCGAAAACCTACAGACTTTGCATGCCCAATCTTGTCGAAAAATGGTAACTTTGATACATTCCTGAGCGTCGCGATTCCTTTACTTCGCGCTCCGCCGAAGTAATAAATGTATACCCTTCATATTTTTTAGCCATAACAGAACAAGTAGTGCACGCTATCTCAAACTTCTAGATACACTTAACATAGATATAAGCATTTTTGAACTCGAAATCTCTTTGCTAGCTCCCAAAATCTCAAAAAATGAAGCCAATATCCCTGAGGTGTTTCAAAACTACCTCGTAAAGGTGTCTGATTTTCACTCACACAATACCAGATATGCCTAAAATCTAAACTTTCATGTACCATGTGTAAGGTCAAATTACGGGAAACACACATTTAAGTTTAATTGCCATAACCAAAACTTGGGAAGAGATTCCTACTAAGATAAAAACACTTAGCTACCATAAGTTCAAAAAAGAATACAAGCGAATTCTAGTTAACTCTCAAAGATAACCATGTTCACATAAAATGACTGCTGACATAATCGTCCATAGTTGCCATGGCACCAAGAGCACATTTATTATGTATTTCCAATCATAATATAGCGGTGGTTAGCTCGAAAGCTAAGCTCCTCTGACGACCGTACACTTCTATCTAAGCCATTAATTTTCTTTTTTCCTTCTTCCTCTCCTTTATTAGTGTATTCCTACCTTACTATATATAATGTAAATATTTTATTAAAGTGTGAATAAGAATTAAATTGAATTGAATTCAGTTCCGTGTGACTCGGTCTGCTTTGAAACATAGGCATACGGGCCGGAGGGGGCAGCAAGGGGGCTGCAGCCCCCCCCTCCAAAGTTTGAGCAACTCAGAGTTTTTGGGCAGTAAGAGAAAATTTTGGCAAAGCCAGTTTTTAAAGACGTTTCCATGTTTTTTGTTATTATTATTTTGAAGAGATAAATATTTCCTATTT